CCCTTTCGATTCTGCCGTTCACAGGCAGAGGAGCAGTGAGTTCGCTTTGAATGGTGGGTGGCACTTGAGTTTCCTAACAGGAAGCGCTTACGTTGATGAATGGCAGTTTTTCCTCAAAGGAAATAGTGGGTGACACAAGTTCATGTTTAATTTTGCTTTGTTTGTGGCGGAGAACATGCTCGCATATTTTGAGATGCTGGGGTATTTAAAAAAAAAGAAAAAAAGAAAAAAGAGCTCTCAGCTGGGGTTTAAAACACTCTTGTCACAGGCTGCTAATACTGTGCTGTGATTGTTGCAAGTTAGACAACAAAGAATCTGATGATGATGATGACGATGATGAGGATTCAGGGCCCGAACAAAAGGGATGTCTGAGTTGTTCCTCCTGCCTGGATAGCTGTGATATAATGAGCACTGGCTCACAAGTGAAGATCATCGGAACATGTCAGTCAGCAGAGGAGGATGTCTGTTACTTAGATTGTTCGGTCTTTCCTCACACACACACACACACATACACACACGCACACACACAGCTTCTCCCTGTCTCATACTCTACTGAGTCCCCTGTATCTTTGGCAGAACAGATCAGTGAGCGCTTGGCTAAATTGATCGATAGCTTGATTCATAGATAAAGCTTTTTAGGTTTCCTCTGCTTGGTATTTGGTCTGCTCCAGGATGTGATTGGTATCGATGCGTGACATCTGTACCATTTTGACAGGGAGTGTAAATCTGTGTTTCAGTCAAAAAAATTTTTTATCCAGGGTACAATCACACTTTGTGAGCTAATTTGCCTCTGAGGCAACAAGCGTTGAATGATCAAAGTTGCTCAACAGTTGCGAAATATGAATTTTTTTTAGGGCAACAGCAACAACAGCTAGTTAACCACTCATTCCAGATGGAGGTTGCATATTGTAGTTCCACATCCCAAGAGTGCGAGGCTGTCATCACACACGCCCCCCCCCAACCTGCACATGTTATAGATATGCTGCATTTTTGAGGCTGCATGTTTGTTTCTTGAGCTGCATTCACAGCGTAGGAATTGAGTTTACAGATTGGTCTGTACTGGATTAGTCTGAGCTTTGAAGGCAAAATATAAGAGGGGGCTGTAAAAGCAATTGTGTTCATTTAATAGTTTCATATGGAATAAATAAATGGATAAATAATCATACGAGGTGAAAATGAAGCAATGCTCCTTTACTTCCACCCTCTCTGGGATGGTATGGAGAGCCCTGCGCAGCTGCATTAACACAGAGTTTTGGTTTGTTTGTTTTTAGCAGTTGCGTAATGCTACCCTGGAACCCATTCTCCTGCTTTCTCATCCAGGCGTTCTCAACTCATAAATATGCCACAATTCTGCACAGTGGGTGAAAAAGAAAACCAGCGTATTTCATTACTTGCATCTTCGCCAGCGTTGTGTGAAGGGAAAGAGGGAGACAACTGATTTTGCTTTAACCTGTGTGTTGTTTGGCATTGGAGAGAGTGGAATCAAACTCTGGCAGCCCAACGGTGGGATTAATTTATTTAACTGACAATTCATCAGTTGAGCAAAATGGTCTGTTGTTACCATGGTGTTCAGTTGGTTTAGCCACAGCATTCAGTGTTTGTGTGTGTCTGAGAGAGAGAGAGAGCAGGAGAGAGACGGGAAAAATATGTTGGCAGTGCAGTGAATTCAAACTGGACAACAAAAGTATGAGTGAGTGTGAGAACAGCTTTGGAGATGGAGCCAAGGTCTTTCTCGGTCTTTTTGGGAAAGAATGGCAATAAAGATAAAAGAGAACGACAACTGATCATCTTTGAAAAGTGTGTGTGTATGTGTGGGCATATGCTCATAAATACAGGACAAATATACTGCCACTTGTGTTTAATTGCTTTAATTTTTTTTGCCTGTCCTTGTCTCGTGGGATGATGTGAAGATGTGTGAGTGTGTGTCCATCTGAAATAATAACGTCCTGTGTGGAGTCAGGAGGCTTTTCATTTCCAGTAGCATCACTCTCATTTCCTGAAAGCCGAGCCAAACAGTCTTCACAGTTTCTGTTATGGGAAGAGAAACACATTAGTGAGCATTAATATGAGGCCCACAATAAACATCTGTGATAACTGCTGCAGTAAACCTCTCCAGTGAGTATGGTACTGCACTTTACCCTTTTTTTCAGTGGTATTTGACTGTGCAGGTCACAGCTTTGGGTAATTCATAGATGCTTGTTGTCACTGTTGGTATCAACATACATGGTTCATTAATCAGTGATCATAGATATCGATATATAACGATCATTAGCCACTTTTCCATCTACTTATTTAGTTAAATAATGGTCCGGCCAGTATTTTGGCTTGAGATGAGACATGGGCTGATGTGGGCTCTAGATAGATGCAGTGTGAGCAGAGCTCTCAGCTCTTAGGTAGAGTCACATGGTTTGTAGGCTACCTTCCTTTGTGCAGTGAGATACACATGGGACCTTGACAAATTCTAGACACAACTTTTAAACTTTTAGATTACTTTGTTTATCTGTTGGGAATTGCTGCTGAAAAGGAAGCAATGCTAAGCTTATCAGTCTCAGCTGGAAGGGAGTTTCTAGGTAGCGAAAGAGTTAAACTGAACAAACAAGCAGGACGACAGAGAAGCTAAGAAGGATTGAGCCAAGGAAGGCAGATCCAGACAGTAAAATAAAGATACTCACATATTTGTCTGGAGATTTCTGCCAGCATGTGTGTTCCTGATGTTCTGCCTCTTCAGGGTCCAGCCAGGAATGAGAACTGTCTCAATCACTATAAGCCCAAACTTCAGAGGTCTCAGGCTTTGTCTGCCTTAGGATGACAGGCACGGCCTTCTGTCAGGCTGTAGTTCAAACCTTAATGCAGCTGCCGTGACACTTTACAGCCTCTTGATCCGGCCAGAAAAATCTCTGTCTCCTGAAAACAAGCATGGGAACAGAACAGAAAGAATTAGTACAGCAAATCAAATATTTGCCATTTATTATTATGTGTATTTGTATATTTTATGTAGATCTCTACTTTCAGTTGGACATTCCTTTTACTCCATAGATTTGTCAGTCTGGTGTTTCTAAGATGCATTCTGAGGAAGAGACAAAAAAGGCTCAAGGGAAAACATACATTAAAAGGTTATTTAGGGTTTTGTTTTTCTGTATGTTGCCATTGGTTCATTGGTTGTGCCAACACTGTACCCACCATGTACACACCATTGAGCATGGCCTAAAAATAGGTCAAGTGGGGCAAGAAACATGGCCAACTAGATCATCAGACTCTTCTGTCAAACATATTTGAAAGAGAAAATGAAAGTGCCTGTTAATATTACTATTATTATATGTTTGTTATAAACACCTCTCAGTTTACCGACCAACTTCCTGGTTCAACTTTGGTTTTGTCTACATAAAAATGCTATTTTGTTGTGTGAAAATCCCCTTCTGCTCTCTGTGATGATCAATGACTGTATTTTAATGCAGCCAAACTCACAATGTAGTTGTTTGCATTGACATATTTTTCTGTTTCTGTTGTCAGACAACGAAACAAGTATGAAACATAGACTGTATATAAAGATGGACGTAGCCTCAGATAAGAGTGGTTTTGAAGCTCTGAGTGGGCTGCTCCGCCAGTGGCATCTTGGCAGTGCCTGACTCTGCCTAATGCCCAGCTAATCTGGGGCGTGTGTGCAGGTGAGATGTTGGTACATGCCGGTTTGTGGCAAGAATACGCTCACCCACCTGTCACTCAAAGTTGACACGTTCTCAATTATGCATAACTTATACATAACTAATACATTGTAAATGGTTGAGTTATGTAAAAATTCACTCTCTGTGCAGTTGTCATTGAGGAGGAAATTAGCTACAGAGACCAAAAACGTTGTTTGTACCAGGCTATAAACATGTTTATATCTGCTGTAAAGTTGGGCATTTTGACATGGGAGTCTATGGGGAGTGACTCGCTTTTGGAGTCAGACTCAAGTTGCTGTTTGAGGGACTGCAGTTTTTGGCATTGGTGTGAAAGTGAAACAGTGGTTTAATCAAAGTGGTGCATGCTACCTTTTAATCATGAGTAATTTCCACATTTCTGCAATGTGGTGCCGTGTTTATAAATTCATTATTTTATGTTTCCAACGAATTCAACATAAATACAGGTTGATGATAACAACTGGGCTATGTGATCAGCTGTACTGACATTTAAAGTGATTGATTACAGGGAGGGTTGGAGATGACAACTCCTATAACTTTACTCCCATGCAGCCTCTGACCCTAGCTGGGCAGCATTATTTTACAGCGATTTTTCAGTTTTTTCCATTCACACTAAAATAGCAAGCCAGTATTTTAAGAATTATCCACTCTGGAGACAATTTTGGATAAGCTTTGTGTTATTTTGGTGAGGACAACGCCAGCTTAGCGAGCACAGAGGGCTGAAAATGAGACAAAAATGTGGACAGACCCTTTGACCTACTGTACTTGCTGTAGTTTTACGCACTCACAGCTTCAATCTTTGGAGAGAAAGTTCTTTGGAGAATATAATGTTATTATAACTGACAGCCAGAGGTAAGAAAATCAAACTGAAGTTTTAATAAAGCTTAGTTTTCCTTTTGATTCTTAAATAGTAATTAAAGAGTTTGAAGAATACCTGTTTCTGGCCATGTCCATACCATCTGTAAGGGTTCTGTCATTTGCCCACAAATGTCTTTAATTGCAGCAGTTCCAAGATCCTTCCATATTCACCACTAAATGAGGTTTGCCTGTTTATTTCTCAGAGAGGGCAGAATGGGAAGTTTGCCCATTTTCAATAGCAATCTTATTACATTGACGTCTTCCAAGACAAGTGGAATAAAGGGAAATCTGTTCAGTGGACTTTCCCTATCACTCTTTCAACTCTCCCTCAATCTCTCATGGTTTTTGTTAATGCACCAGTCCTTGAAAAAAGATAGCTTCCTCAGAAGCACCTAGGGTTGACTCACTTCCTCCTTTTGCTTTCTCTCATGCTCTCTCTCTCTCTGTCTCTGTCTTTTTCAGGTTTGTGGTGCTCCTCTTTAGAGTTTCCTGTTGTTACATGGTAACACAAAGCTGAAGGCAAGAGGTAAGATGGATTTTTATTTTATTTTTAAAAAAATCTGCAGTAAAGTTGGTGGTAATATGGATCACGTGTTACACAACTGAAAGTTTATGGTAAAGAGAGGAAAGTGACAAAGGAAGAGAGTTTTTAGTCTTCACAGCGTACAGGTTCATGCCGGGGCATTTGGATGTTGCGGTTAGTCAGAGTGAAACAGCTGCTGGGAAGCATCTCATTCTCCTGTTTGAGGTGAGAATGGAGGTGCTAATGGTGGGCAAACAGCGCCTGAAGCCTTCACCTTAAAGAGCTGTGAAAGACACAGACTATAGTAAACACCAGTTTCTCCCTCTGTCTTTTGGCAGCACAACAAACTATAGGGCTTTGGCTCCCAGCATGCTCTGTGTGCTGTATGTTGGTGTGTGTCTGTGTAACAGAGGATGGCACAGAAAGACAGTCCTGTGCCCACAATTGGTGACACAGAAAGAGGTGATAGAAAAGGTTTCATGCCTTCCTGTTCAGCTCCTCCAATCAGCTGATAGTTCGAGCGCTGATGCCCTCATAGATAAAGCATGTGCAGGTTAGTCATTTGAAAAGCACTTTAATTGTCTTCTGAAAATACGTGCCCTCTTACAGCTGCAATTCGCCTTCATACACAATCGGAAAACAATGTGCACGTTCAGGATACAACAAAGATAACGGAGCATTTAGTGTTAAACTCATAGGCTTTTATCTTGGGTTTAAGTGTGTGTGTGTGGTGGTGCTGTGTGTGTGTGGTGTGTGTGTGTTGTGTGTGCAGTGGGTGCGTGTGTGTGTGCTGTCGTGTTGTGTGTTGTGGTAATGCGAGTCGCGTGATCAACCAACTAGGTAACCAATTTACTGATTTGATAAAATTATACACAAACTGGTTTTGTCAACCAGGCTAAGTGTAACACAAGATGAACATTTCTTAGTTACAGAGGATTAAGAGCATCTCCAATCACTTTAACTTTTTAACCACACAGATAAATACAATAAGCATATATTATTTCTTTTAAATTACAATTGTAGCTTTAAAGCTATGGAGTAATTAGGTCCTATATAGTATAAATGTAGATTTCCATGTTTTTTTTATTTTTTATCATTAAGCAGGTCCACAGATGTATCTTCTCACGGATCAACACTTGAAATAAAACACTGGAAAAGTGTAAAATATGGGACCTTTAAGTCTAGTTTTTGATTGCTGTGGCTAACTCTTTGAAAGCCTTTTTCATTTATCATATTATGAATTAAGCCCTTTGTGTGTTTATTTGCTCAGTACAGACAATGTCTCTTTTACTGTGACATTTACATGTCCCTTAAACTCTCTACTGAAGCCGTCTGTCAGGATTTATGGATCAAGGCTTTTGCTCCATGGATAGATGAGCTGCTCATAGAACTACTAACAATTTACTATCAAAGTCTGTGCTCTAATCTGAAGTCTTCAGTAGATAAGAACAAGCTGAAAGGTCAAAGGTTGAAGTTCAGGACATAATCAGAGTGATAATAAGCACAGAAGCATTAAGCATAGGGCAACAGGATTAGGGTCTACAGGCGCCCATGCCATAAGGAGTGGAATTATCTTTCTGAGCTCATCTCAAGTAGACACACCTATAGTAGGTGAACATGCACATACGTGAGCGCATCTATGAGGGGTGATTTTTGCCGTGACACGCACACACTTGCGCAGGCACATGGCTTTGCCTGGTGATCAGATGAGAAGAAATATTTGTGACAAGGTTTTTGAGTTTTTCATTAAATTAATTTATTATCCAGCCGGCTCATGGCGTCATTAGACAGATGACTTAAGGTCATTTGTGCAAGTCATGGGATCGTCTTCAATTTGATGCACTTTCTTTTTGTGCATGGAAGTGGCCTCCTTTTTTTTTTTTTTTTTAACCAATGAAAATGTGTACAGTCCCAAATTACTGTAAGCTTCAGTTACTGACTTTCGTCTGTTCCTAAAGAGGAAATAAACATTTAAAATAGGAAAAGGAAACCCCTCTCCAACGCTGTGGGTATTGTGGATATTGTACGCTAGAGGTATGATGAGCAAATGAAATGAGCCAGTGAGAGAAAGAGATAAAGTAGAGCAACTTTCTTTTCTGCCTCATAGCTTTGGATATGACGCGATGTGTTGGTCTGTTTATTACGTATACACTGACACACAAATGATGCACACGCTGTCAAGCAGAACCCTAACCCTAACCACACACACACACACACACACACACACACACACACACACCACAAACTTCCCGCGTACTCACACCAATCAGTCTTTTACTGACAGTGACTGTGCCACTTTTGAGAAGGGTGAGTGGGTGTGTTGACTGGAAATAGGTAGCAGTGATCCAATACAAAGTCCTCTCAACCAAGACACAGTAACACTCACTCTGTTTAAGTTCTCAGTGTGTTCAGAGTGAAGACGAACGGCAGGCTCAACCGCTATGGCTTGGAGCTGTAGTCGTGGAGGGAAAGCAAAAACATATGATTACTATAAGTATTGTCAGGGAGTTTGGCTCAGCTAATTGTGGATTAAGTAAATTCACAAAGTGGATTTCCTTAAAAATGTAAACAGTTATTTCTTTTCTGAATAACATTACCTTCAGCCCCGCTCTCCATGCTCACGCAAAGGGAGTCTGCAATCATAAGGTGGCAGATTTACCACTTAAAATGCTTAGTAATTTTTTTTTAAATGATGGCTCCTTGATTTCACACAGAAGAAGACAAAACCAGTCTTTTGATTTTAAGCTGGCACCAGCTGAAATGAAAACTGCCGCTGACAGATTGTATTGTATTGTATTGTATTGTATTGTATTGTATTGTATTGTATTGTATTGTATTGCGAGCTAACTAACCTTCACTCCATGAGTTGTTCGAAAAAAAGGTTGTCTTCGGTGGACTTTTCAATGTTTCCACCTGACTCATTTTAAAGGAGAATCTTGTAAAAGGGGTCTTAAATACTGTATATACGTGACGGCTACACACATGATGTAATTCTAAAAAGCTGAGACTTTAATAGACTGCATTTAAACTGTGTTTTACCATTCATATGTTTGTTGCTTGTTGTTTCCGTTTTCAAACAGTATGTTTGACTTTGAGGGTTACAGGTGAAAAGAGTAGGGTGAGGACTAACCAATGTTTTTGTAAGGTGTGAGTAAGGCAATGCATTTGCAGCCTAAATGTTGGCGGGGGTTGCTGGAGTGTAAACTTACTCCAGTCTAATAAAGATCAGGACAGAGCTGCTAATGTTACCATAAACTCTCACAGCATCCAGGACTGGACTCCGTACAGTGCACGTCATGATCAAGGTTTTTTTTTATGCCTCTGCGGTGGTGACAGCCATGGCCCGAGGCAATAGTCCATCCGTCCCATTCTCGTGAATGTGATATCTCAGCAATGCCTTGAGGGGACTTCTCTGAATTTGGCACAAATGTTTGCACTGAAGGATGAACTGATTAGAATTTGGTGGTCAAAGGTCAAGGTCACTGTGACCTCACGTCCGTCCCATTCTTGTGAATGCAATATATCAGGAACTGGAAGGAATTTGATTACATTTACCACAACTGTTCACTTGGACTCAAGGATGAACTGATTAGAATTTGGTGGTCAAATGTCGCCGTGACTTCACAAAATGACGTTGTCGCACATTGTCACTACTTGGCGGAGGCAGTAATTTGTAGTTTTGACGTCACCTGTTATTCCACAAGTTATTGTAGTTAGTCAATCATTGGCCTGAGAATAAATGCACGATTTCTACTGTCGGTAGTGAGCTGCTTAGCCCACTCACTTTTTTAAACCATTCCTTATACAATTGCTTTTGTAATTTTTTTTTGGAGAGGCTAAGAAAGTCACCACCAGTGATGCCAAGTGTCATTCTTACCACAGCTCCGTGCATACAGCCTCAATAGGTGGAGAACAGGAGAGTTTTAGCTTCAACTGTCAATTGACAGTTAAAGTTTCATAATTACTTCACGTTCTGTGACCTCAATTGTCCTTTTGCTTATCACCTTACATTGCGTCATTTCTTTCCTCTTTTCTTTAAGCGTTATCACCTTCGCCATAATTCATAACCGACCCACCCCCTCCCTCCCCCCTCTCCCATTTTATCATCTTCAGGGTGTTGAAGATGGCAGTGTGGATCCAGGCCCAGCAGCTCCAGGGAGATGCTCTGCACCAGATGCAGTCTCTGTATGGTCAGCACTTCCCCATTGAGGTGCGACATTATCTGTCCCAGTGGATAGAGGGCCAGCTCTGGTGAGTTGCTCCTCAGGCCAAACAGAATTAGTGTGTGTGTGTACAGTTATGCCCACATGCCTGAACAAATGTTTGTGTTGCATATTTGTACATGAGAGCAAATTTGGACAACTCCTCTTCTCTTGTCTGTTTTTGTTTGTTCTTTTCAACACCTAAGAGTTCATTCATTAACCATGTGCGTGCATTTATACATGTGTCCGTGTTGCTTGTATGTTTCTTATGTGCATGTATTTATGTGTGTGCGTGTGTGTGTGTGTGTTTGTGTGTGTGTGTGTGTGTTTAGGGATGTCATAGACCTGGAGAACCCGCAGGAGGAGTTCAAGGCCAAACGCCTTCTGGACAGTCTGATTCAGGAGCTGCAGAACAAGGCTGAGCACCAGGTGGGAGAAGACGGCTTCCTCCTCAAAATCAAACTGGGACACTACGCCAGCCAGCTCAAGGTAAGTCTTTTGGAAATACACTTCACCAGCCACGAGAACAGGACTGCATACCCAGAAATATATAGCATCTCACTGGTTTTATCTTTAGGCTCAACTGCCTGTGGCCGGCAAGCTGAAATTAAGGCCAACTTGTCTTATTCATACAATCTGTTTCATTGAGAGACCTATTGGATTTGGTTTGTAGTCAGAGAGGGAAACTGAACTTGGGGGCAGTATGTCCAAAGTTTGAGAACCCACAAAGAACAAAAGGCAGTATGTACCAAATAAATGTGGTTTCAGTTCTTTGTCAGATTTATCAGTGAAGGAGAAATTTCCCTGGGACTTGAAAATGTCTGACCTTGATTTGTTTTGTCGTAAAAATGTCTTTGATCTGTGATACTTTATGTATTGCTAAGCAGAAGACTGGAACAAGAAGTGCCTCCTGTTCGTGCAGTCAAATAAGCCAAAAACAACTCCAGGGGAATATTTTCACATTAAACTCTGAATTCCACCTGCTCAGGCCGTAGCTGTGTTTTCAACCAATTGTTTTAAATTGTTTACAATGTGACCAGATGATAAGCAAGCGGTTGGGAGGCACAACTGTTCAGCTCAGGCGCCTCCCTCGCCGTATTTCTTAGAAGGAGCGCACAATGCACAAAATGTTTTAAGAACAGGTTGTATCCCACCATGAGAAAAACAAGAGGACAGCCCAAGCGAGGGCCTTGGTAGCCAGCCAGCGCTGCTATTTATGATCTGAGCTCCCTGCTCACAGATCCGTTCTTCTGTTTGTCTTCTCCCCTCCCCAACAGCAGGCAGAGAAACAGGGTGAGGGGGCTCAAGCTGCAATCCCGAATACTTACCAGAATGTTTGTTGTTTGTTTTGTTTTTTTATCTGTCTGTGTGTGCTTACATATATACAAGTGGCTGAGTGTGATGCATACTTTTCTGTTATGCTTCAGATCCTATCTTAGCTTCCCCTCATAAACTCAGGATGGTGAAATCAATGAAACTTTGAATGCAACTTCATTCTTCCACTTAAAGCAGGAAACAACAAGAATATCACCAACTGACTCACAACAGTATCTTTTAAACTGAAAGTGAAACCGCAGTTTGTTACACTGCTCATCAAAAAAAAAAAATAAAAAAATACTGTAACACATAAACCACTCAACTCTGGTGTGTGTGTGTGTGAGTGTGTGTGTGTGTGACAATATGTGTGTATGTTAATGAGTCATGTCTCTATATAAAGTGTGCTGAGCTTCAGAGATGAGTCTCATTAGGCTCATCTAATGGGTTTTAGTGTCTGTGGCGTTGGCTCCAGAACTTAGCGAGCTTCCTTGATGTGACTAAATTGGCGAGTCCTGTGTCCAGCGGCTGCTCCACTCGTCAGGGGCTAACAGGCCTTAACACAGCACATGTGCTCCTTGTCTTTCAGAGCACGTATGACCGCTGTCCTCTGGAGTTGGTCCGATGCATCAAACACATCCTCTACACAGAGCAGAGGCTCGTCAGAGAGGCTACGAATGTAAGTAGGGTGCATGTGTTTTTTGCTGTGAAATACATACACAGTCTGACACTTGAACGCGCTCCTCTGCTCATTTGCCTGCGCACCACACATCCTCACTGAAATACAACCTTTGCAAACACCTGTGGCTTCTCCATGCATTATTCATTTCATAGCATGTACAAATCCTGCAAATACAAACAGAGGCTCACCTACGTAATGGTGACTGATTCAAAGATTGAATAACTGGGTAACTACTCCCTGTTTCCAAAGTCTGCAGATTCCCTTGGATTATTAGAAATGTGACACCAACGGACACTGACAGCTTTTCAATCACGCTGTGAAATGGTCTCATAAAAGCAAACCTTTGTATTTCTCCACTGGCACACTGCAGTATGGAGGGAAGTCAAAACTGAAAGTCAAATATTTCACGCTTTATAACAAGCACTGAGTTATAAAACCATAAAGGCAGCAGTGCATAAAACATCTGACTCTCAGCAGCTCCTGGGGTGAATTGATTTCCAGTCACAACATGCCTTTTCTATTAGTGGAATGCATATTTGGGCTGATTGAATTCCACCCTGTTTAGCCCGAACCTTTAGGCACCATAGTGCTCTTGTTCAGAGCTTTAACTGACCATGCAGTCTGCCTGAGTATGATAAGCAAATGCATTTCCTCCCTCTCTGCATTTACAATGATCCCACTTTGATTCCCACATGCAGGGGTCAGTGCATCATGTCCCGCTTAATTTTGTGTCCCTGCTCGATGCCCCAACCGATGGTCCCCCATAGCTCAGCTCTCAGCTCCACACTGGCCAGCCATTTCCCTTAATAACTATCATAAACAATCCGATGACAGACAATTCAGAAAATTTACAGGCCGCGCTCCATCCAATGGAAAATCAACCTTACCAATTACTGTTCCCAAACCCATAATTTCCCCTCTCTCTCACTCTCTCTCTCTCTCTGTCTCTTTCTCTGTCTCTCTCTCTGTCTCTCTCTGCGCCTGTCTCTCAATCACATTTGTAATTGAAAGTCGAGCTCTCCGGTGGGCGGGATGATGGACAGCATGTCTCAGAAATACCAACAGATCAACCAAGCTTTTGAGGAGCTTCGTCTGATGACCCAGGACACTGAGAACGATCTGCGCAAACTCCAGCACAACCAGGAGTACTTCATCATCCAGTACCAGGAGAGCCTCCGCATCCAGGGTGAGACCAGAGGGCTCGCACCTAGTTAATGCTGCTCGAGAAAATAACACCAGAATGAGTGTTTTTACTGACTAGACTGTCGAGTGGATGAGCGGATGGTAGTTCTGAAACATTTAGCCTATTAACTGAGTAGAAAACTGTCATATTTAATTGTCATATTTAATTATTAAGTCATTTGTCATACATCCCAAGCAGTTACTGGTTCAAGCTTCTCAAATGTGCAGATTTTTTTTTTTATTGTTTTGTTTCATTTTAAGTTGAACAAATACCAGTGTTCTGAAGATATCATCTGGGCATTTTTCACTATTGTAAGCTAACTGAGTAATTGATTTATAGAAAATATAATCAAGAAATGAATATAAGAAAATACCTGTTAGTTGAAGTCCTAAGTGGTTTGTTGTACAGCTCGATGAAACTGAAGTGTGAAGTTGCGTAGCTGCTTTGTGCAGGAAAAGAAAAAAGTTGGAGTCTAGTATATGTCATAGCTTTGGAAAATCAAGGTGTGAAATTGTATAAGAATCCTTCCACCCACATTTGACAGCTGTCTGAAATATTATACTGGATCCTGTAGATCAGCAACGGAAAACATGTACCTGGAGCTTCCATAACCCTTCAACCTCTGCGTATATGTTGCGTCATGCAGAAAACGACATCTCGCTTTAATGACATCTGCGTTATGTTGAATGTGTGTGCACAGGTTAGAGATTTTTTTTTTTTTTTTGCCTCCTCTCTCTTTCTTCCTTCCTCCATCTCCAACTCATCCATACCCCTCCCCCCCACCCCCTTTGGATGGCACGAAACTCCACCCTCCCGCCTCCCCCACCCCTCTCAGCTCAGCTGACCAGCCTGGCCACGCTGCCCCCTGCTGACCGACAGCTACGGGAGCCCGCCCTTCTCAGCAAGAGAGCCACTGTGGAGTCATGGCTGACCCGAGAGGCCAACACACTACAGAAATACAGACTGGTGAGACATGAACATACACTTATGTATATCTTGTTCATATACGAAACATATGAATTTTGTTTGTTTCTTTAATGTGTGTGAGTGCCAAGTTTTTGATTGTAAGTCAACCTCTCCATAAAGGAAAAATAAAAAAAAAATATTTTTTTTTAATGTGTTTGTTTGTTTGTTTGTTTTTTTGTGTACAGGACCTGGCGGAGAAGCACCAGAAAACACTGCAGCTGTTGAGGAAGCAGCAGACCATCATTCTGGATGACGAGCTGATCCAGTGGAAGAGACGGCAACAGCTGGCAGGCAACGGGGGCCCACCGGAGGGAGGCCTGGACATCCTGCAGTCCTGGTGAGTTCTTTTCTGCCTCCCACCAACATCACAGCCACTAGACTCCCTTGCAAAACAAAAGGGTCACAGGTTTACAAGCTTGTAATTGACCACCACTGGGTTTATTTCCAAAGTTTATTGGCTCCTAATAAGAGAGACATAGGCAGACATACGTCGACATCCCTTATTTTCCACCTGGCTTGGTTCTGTTTGCCATTTTTGGAGCATTTTGATATTGGTCTTCTGGACCTTCTGCAGTGCAAATTTTAATGTCTGTCTGTGTTTAGGCCTAATTCTTACTTGTGTGTGTTTGTGTGTGTGTGTGTGTGTGTGTGTGTGTGTGTAGGTGTGAGAAGCTGGCAGAAACTATCTGGCAGAACAGGCAGCAGATCCGGAGGGCAGAGCACCTTAGACAGCAGCTGCCCATCCCCGGCCCCATCGAAGAGCTTCTCAACGAACTCAACAGTACTATCACAGATATCATTTCAGCTTTGGTCACCAGGTGTGTGTGTGTGTGTGTGTGTGTGTGTGTGTGTGTGTGTGTGTGTGTGTGTGTGCGTGCGTGCGTGTGTGTGTGTGTGTGTAAGTTTATTTGTAATTATAACGACTGGATCATCTCTGAAAAAAGCTGATTTTAAGGGCATCAATGTAGGTTAGCATAGCTTCAACATAAGGATGAGGTTAAGTGAGTGGGTGTGTTATGTACACTGAGGCCTTGCCCTTTCCTGAACTCACTGTTGGCCCTCACAGAGGCAAATCCTGCTTACACAACCTCAGTTGCTTTTGTGGCCAACAGCAGCGATATCATCTCTTACTAAAATTAAATTACTTAGGCATTCACTTTATCCATCTACTGATTCAATTCACATGAGCGAAGCTACTGCATATGACTGTAGAGAATGTGCGGATGTTTGGGAGCATGCTTGTGTTTGTTCTCTTGATTCATTACGTGCTGGATGAGCATTATCTGCTAACGTGAGAACATTTAGCTTTTTCAAGATTTGTTGAAGTTAAGTTGTAAGATTATCTTCCTTAAGATTTCAGTTCCGGCTTTGACTTTTACGACACCTGTGGTTACCATGGTAATGGCAAGTGCAGCTTAATGATAGCTGAGCAGATAATTTGTCAGAAATACAACAGAAGAGTAACTAGTGTACAGTATCTGTTTACCGTGCAGCCAAACAAACTTATGTTGTTTTGATAGAAGTCAGTCAGAAATAATGGAAACCACAATCTGATTTCACGGTGTGAGTCATTCTCCGTGCAGCAGCAGAGCACAGTTAAGTTGGTTACCTTGCTGCAGAGCTGGAGGTGTGCGTCCTGTTGCCTGCAGCTATTCATCTCACAGCTCTCTGTGGCTGATCTTTCTTGTTTCATTACTCCCTATAACGTTTAAAACTGATCCATGTCAAAAAACGTGTCCTAAAGAAAGCCACCTGGTGTGTCATGTTGAACTCTTAATACAGCTCTGATACGGTGTGAAGAGAATAAACTGTGAACAGTGAGGCTGTTATTAATTAGATTAAATTACGCTGCATCACATGCTGCATCGTTTCTCATGAATCCCCTTGTGCGTGTCAAGGTAGTTTTCATCCAGCACAACAATTTCAGACTGTCATTGACAATGAATACTGCTATTTAGAGACATCATTACATATTGTAAATACCTTGAGAATCTTAAAGGTGCTATATGTAAGTTTTCTCTGCTGCGGAACATGGTCTCTTGGTGTGAGCATGTGGTGATGGTTTTAATGGTCACTTGCCAAGAGCTTCAGCCATCATTGCGTTTACAAGACAAGAGGTTAGTACATGCCCTCTGGGCAGCGCTATTTCATCATCCTCTCATGTTGGACAGAGCAGAGTGGAAACTACAGTGACTCACTATCACAAAATAGTATTGGTAGACGGACAGGCCGGTTGGCTGGTTAGCACTGCTGAAGTTACAACATTTCTTCTAGACTGGTAAGTAAACAGCTGTTAATGCTGACCATAGCAATGTAGCAATAGTAAAAACTTACATATAGCACTTTTAAGGACATTAACTTTAAAGTTTGATTTCACTGGGGTTGGATTTATCTAGGCGCAGATTGTAGTGGTGATGGGATCCGTGGTTGGGGAAATAATGTATTGAAAGAAAATACAAAGCAAGTTTAGTCTCCATGTGTTACAGTGTGAGCCCTAGTGTTGAGCCAAAGCACCCCCCCTCCCCCCACTTGCTCAAACAGAGATGACATTGAGACACGGGCTGAGGAGGAGTCCTGACACAGAGGAGGAGGGTTAATGCATAGGTGCCCTGAGGCAAAGTATGGTAGTTGAAGGCACCTAAAGAAATCTGCAGAGACACAGAGCATGCAATGTTAAAGAGATTAAAACTAAGGACGAGTACATACAGCTTGTTTCAGTACATTTGTTTTTGCCCCAACAGCACATCTGCCAGGATCTTTTAGCCTTCCATCATCTCTGAACACAAAGTAATCTGAAGTATTTGACAGCATCCTCTCCCACTTTCTTAGAAGATTTTCCCTGCAGGGACCCATAACACATTGAAAAGCCATGTCACTGTCACAGCGATTTCTGACTGACCACAGACAAGCCTGTGACCAGCCAGTAATGCACTGCTATCACGCATCGTACAAACACTGGTTATGTTCCTTCAGCAACATCCTCTATATATGCCCATGAAGCCTCAGGAGGTTTCAGGCTGGAAATGAGCTGTGATGAGCGTTATCACCACGTAGTTCAGCTACGGAACAAAGGGCTAAAAGGCTCATAACATCAGTATGTGTTTGTTTCCAAGCTCTGTCTGAGTCCTCCAGGTTTAATTATTAGGTTGTGTTATGTGGACATAAGCAGACAGCTATGCAGAAAAGCAGACCAACACAGTCAGAGAAAAAAGTAATTGTTAACCCTGTTGGTTTACTGAACAGCGATTGCTTTCGTGCCCCTCCATTAGTGCGCAGTTTATTACAATTAAGGTCTTTTTCAAAGGCTAATGTTCCTAAATCTGCAGGTGAGTGGAACTTAGAGGAACCCTGTGGAATTTCCATTGTCAACAAGCAGTCATACACACTGTATATGTTAAGTCTGATGTTGAAAGCATTTTCTAACATGCAGCAAATCTCTGTTTCATTAAGGGGACTTAAACTAAATGAGCCTCCAAGGCACCTAATCAACAGGACTCTCTTCTGCCATTCAGTCCAACTCTCCTTTGTGTTTCCACAGCACCTTCATCATCGAGAAACAGCCTCCGCAGGTGTTAAAAACCCAAACCAAGTTTGCCGCTACAGTGCGCCTCTTAGTGGGAGGGAAGTTGAACGTGCACATGAACCCCCCACAGGTCAAAGCCACCATCATTAGTGAGCAGCAAGCCAAGGCCCTGCTGAAGAACGAGAACACAAGAAAGTAAGTCCAGTGCTTTAAGCATGTCAGTGTGGATTTAAAAACTGACAACAACAGAGAACACTGGAGTTTCAGCCTTCTGCTACTTGGTGACAATAACAACATGGCTTATTTTCAATTAATACAGCAAAGATGTTTCAGGAAGTGACACATAGCACTTTTCCAGTCTTATCGCTCAATCAAAGCGCTTTACACTATAAGCTGCATCCACCCAATCATACAGCACTTTTTCTATGTATGCTTTTCTATCTCACACACACACATCAGGGGAAATCAATTTGAGGTTCAGTATCTTGCCAGAGGACACTTAAACACTGGAAAACTGGAAGAGCCGGGAATTGAACCGCTGACCTTTCGATTGGTGGGCGACCTGCGCTACCTCCTGAACCACAGGGGCGGCTGTTGTGTAGTCACATGTTGTAGCAACAACATGTGATCCATCTGTTTTCCTTAATGTGTTTGCACATATTTTAGTATCCCCTCTTCCTTTAGTGGGGACACTGCAATGAGCTCCCACGACGCCATTAAGACAAGGAGTCTTAGTTTTCCTACAAGGATTACTTGATCCAAGATGAACTCTAGCCTAGTGTGTTTTTTAGACCTCACCACAGACATGGCTGGAACTTGAACAATGCCTCAGAGGAATCTATGGTGTGGATGCAGAATCCACATTTAGCCGGTTCCACAGCCTTAGTCCACATTCCTCCTGACTAATAGAGACCTTCTGACTGTAGGTCAGCCAGGCAGCCAGTGTGGCTAAATGGGTGAGCAGTTAGAGCCATAACCCCAATATGCAGCCCAGACAAATCTGCATACTGAGAAGATAGAGAGGGTGGTAGTTAAACTTTCCAGTTATATATATATAGCCTATATATAAAAAGTATTAACATCATTCCTACACCCAGCATGCTTTTCACTCCACTCCTGCTGTCCAAACGAGCATCATTTTGTATTAATTTGCTCTGGGAAGAATGTAATTTTCAGCACTCGAGTGCATACAGCTAATTGACTCCTCGATGGTCTCTCTCCTGCAGTGACAGCAGTGGGGAAATTCTCAACAATAACTGTGTAATGGAGTACCACCAGACAACAGGCACTCTCAGTGCCCACTTCAGGAACATGGTAAGTATGGCCTTGTGGTGTACATGAGTTAACTCATGATAGCAGCAACAGCAAATTAAATGACTATCATGCCCTTCATATAGAAGCTGTCTGCAGAATTCATTTGAAATTATATCAAAGAATAAATATGCACATATGCACGTGTCCCTGATCTGTATGTACTGTAAATATATAGAGAAACAGGTTCAATTTATACTTTAATATTATATATTATATAATGCCCTTAATTGAAGCAACTGCCAATAATTACGTCCATCAATATTATGGAAATCTATGACAAAAATGTCATAGCTATGCTTTATATAATGTTTTTCCTATAATAAATGAAAAGAATATCCTCCTTGGCTGAATAAGCATCACTTCATGCATCACCAATGCAGTTCCAATATTTTTGGGATTTCTAGAATAAAGTGAACTGCTGAGCTGCACTTCACCAGCCAGTGTCATTGCCTAGTGTCTGTGCAGTGTGGGTATTACAGTACAGCATGTACCGCACATACCCATGGCACCTCAGCAATGCTTTGGAGGATCAGTGTGCAGCATTAGAAGAGCCCCCTCTCTACATTACACATGTTGTTAGCAACAATCCCCCAGAGCCCTCTATGGATTATTTACATGTAGCGATACGCAAAGTGAATTATGCATGCATGAACTGTATGTATGATGTGTGCATTGTCAGCCTAACCGCGTAGGCAAAACATACAGTATATGCAGTATTCCTCATTGTTACACATGTCTTGTTTCATGTAGTCTTTGAAGAGGATCAAGCGATCGGACAGGCGAGGAGCAGAGTCCGTCACAGAGGAGAAGTTCACCATTTTGTTCGAGTCTCAGTTTAGTGTTGGAGGCAATGAGCTTGTTTTTCAAGTGAAGGTAAGATGGCGCAGACAGATAGGGTGGAACAAAACACTACATGGCCTTGGCACACAAACATAGTATCCATTCTTACTCCTGCAACATCAGAAATGTGTTTATTTTTATGCCCAAGTCTTAAAACCTTGAGTGTCCACTCCTACATACACTGTAACACACAGTGCGCCTCGTACGCTCAGCCACAAGTGCTTGTTCCCGTTCCTCATCTGTCTTTCTGTAAAACAAGTGGTTTTATGATGATGTTTTAATGGTTCCTTCTATACTATTAAATCTGTAGAAGGTCGTGTTGTTTGACAGTAAGTTCAGCATTTATGGATGCTGCAGCGTTCTAACACTGATGGCCTCCCTTCTCTCTCTCTCTCTCTCTCTCTCTCTCTCTCTCTCCAAACAGACGTTATCTCTACCTGTAGTGGTTATAGTTCATGGTAGCCAAGACAATAATGCCACAGCAACTGTGTTGTGGGACAACGCTTTTGCAGAGCCGGTGAGCATCTGTGTGTGTGTGTCTGTGAGTGTGTCTGTGTTCAAACTTTTATTTAGAGATGGCTAAACATAAGCCTGTATACAAAAATCCTTGCAGAAGCAATGAAACGGTATATAAAAAAATATTACTGCTGTGGAAATAGCTGTGTGTGCACTTGTTTATGTGCTCATCTTTGCACATTTTATCTGTGGCTGTGTTTTGCATTCTGCTGCTGCCTTGCTCCCTTCCATAAAGCTCATGTAAATCCCCTGCTGTCTCCCGTGCACCTACAGGGACGGGTGCCTTTCCTCGTGCCAGATAAAGTGCTTTGGCCTCAGCTGTGCGATGCCATCAACATGAAGTACAAGGCTGAAGTGCAGAGTAACCGAGGCCTGTCTGAGGAAAACCTGGTCTTCCTTGCTCAAAAGGCCTTCAGCATCTCCAGCAACAACCCTGATGACTACCGCAACATGACTATGACCTGGTCACAGTTTAATAGGGTCAGTGACAGTTTCTCTCTCTCTCTCTTCTTCAGTGAATACAAGAACACAGCTTTTATAAAGAGTGTCCTGATTATCTGTTATCATCAGTTTTTATGTATGGATTTCTTATCATGCTGCACTTTTTTCCTCATTGTATTTTTGAAATGCCCACAGGCCGGTTTCAATGAGTCATATCAGCCACATGCTTATTTGCCACAGAGAGATTTACTATTGGTTATCCATACATACGAATATTTCTTGCTCCATTTGCAGTGTCTCTACTGCCCTATTCTGTATGACAATTTAAGTGAGAACGCCTCATTGGAAGCCAGGCCTTCATCTTAATGGGCCTGTTTGTCCACACAGTAAAAGGCTGGAGGCCTCATTTTCAGGTTCAAAGCAGCTGGCGGAAAACACACTCACATTCACCACACGCCATCGGTCTCATTAGATTACAGGAACATCAAGTTTCAGCCGCTTCACAGACCCATGTGTAGGCTACACATAGACACCCTGTCGTCTTCTTGCTCTTCCTCAGATACACAACATGGACACATTCAGCCCTACACTTGGTTAAGTCATACACACAACTGGGATGAGGACGTGTTGTTCTTTGTGTTTATGGACTGGATGGACACTGAAAACCTTTTTAAAAAAAAAAAAAAAAAAAAAAAATGTGTGTGCTTGTGCTGTGTGATTTCTAAAAATGTTTTCTCCAAAAACCATTCACCTCTACAGGAAAGCTTGCCAGGGAGGAACTTCACATTTTGGCAATGGTTTGATGGTGTGATGGAACTCACAAAAAAGCATCTCAAACCACACTGGAATGACGGGTAAGGAAGCTGCGGTGTTTTTTTTGTCTTTTTTTCTTCAGTTTCTGTCTTTGGCTGAAAAATACATCAGAACGGACAAATAAAAGCACTACCTCTCTTTTTTCATTTTGACAGCTGGACTGTATGTTCTGTGAGAGTAAAATGTGTTTTCCTCTCCCTATTCTGTGAGTCTTGACAACTCAGGCAATGGTTCACTTTCATGATTTTCCATGGCAACCTGGGGAGTCAGACCTGCTTTTGCCACTAAACTAGAGTGTGGGAGAGCACATAATAGTTATTATGTCTTTTTCTATATCTTTTTCTCTTTTTTTTTTTTTTTTTTAGAGCCATCTTAGGTTTCGTGAACAAGCAGCAGGCCCAGGACATGCTGATGTCCAAACCCAACGGTACTTTCCTTCTGCGCTTTAGTGACTCTGAGATCGGAGGAATAACAATAGCCTGGGTGGCAGAAAATCCTAACAAAGCAGGTATGACACCAAAATTCACATAGCGTCATTTTCTGACTAAATCAACACAGTAGGAAAGCCAGTTAAATGTATGGCTTCCGTCATCTAAATTATGCTAAATTAAAGCTGCATCAAGCATTTTTTTTTTGGCCACTAAGGGAGCAGAGAGATAAACTGCAAATTGAGCATAGCAGATGTTTGGCTTAGTAAGTTCTCATTAATAAAATGATAGCAAATGTACTCAAACATACGGAAGACACAAAGTAATATGGGCATCCCAGTCAACTCGTCTTTTTTTTCGCCTGATGAAGATAACTGTAATAACTTCTCAACTTTAGCCCTGATTTGTGTGGCCAAAAATAATGAAGTTCTCATTAGCATTCTATGATTTCAGGCTGTGCAAGAAGTGTTCAACCAGGTTGAGCTTGACAGGATTTATGTGCAAAATTCTTTTTATGTTTTTTGCTAAATTAAAGCGGCATTGCACCATTTTTTTAAAAACTTTTGACCCTCCTTGCGCAGAGGGAGAAAGTCTAAACTACAAGTACGTATTACTAATATGTTAGCAAACAAAATTTACACAGAAAAATGTAAGAGACTCAGTAGAAACAGGACCATCACATTCAACTCATCTCTCTCACCATCTCTCTTTGTGTGCTTTAAGAGCGAAGAGAAACAATGAAGCGACCTAATGGAGCTATACGTTAGATCAGTGTCATTGAGTGTGTGAGGAGGATATATGATGCGATTGCAGAGTGATAGATTTCAGATAATTCAAATGAAAACAACACTGCAGTACTGCCAAAATTACAATATATTGCTGCTCTTGCCAATGCTGTGGTTTGGGTGCCGTGTTTCTCCAGGTGAGAGAATGGTTTGGAACCTCATGCCCTACACAACCAAAGACTTCTCCATTCGCTCTCTGGCTGACCGCATCAGCGATCTCAATCACCTCCTCTTCCTCTACCCCGACAGACCCAAGGATGAGGTTTTCTCCAAATATTACACCCCACCACTCTGTAAGGGACCCTCTGTTTGCACTGCCTGTTTTTTACTTGAATGTCACAGCTGCGATGCCCCCGATCACTGAGCTATCAGTCATTCTCTCTCCCTGTGCTTGTTTGTTTTAAAGCCAAAGCAGTGGACGGCTACGTGAAGCCGCAGATAAAGCAAGTGGTGCCCGAGTAAGTATCAAGCTTCCTGTTCATCTGTCCTGCTGTTCTTTTGCTCCGTTTCTCTCTTCCCTCTCTCTCTACTCCACTGTCCACCCACCAGTTTTCCCTCTGTGGCAACATTTAGAGTTAATCACTAAATATTGGACCCTGAATTCAGATCAGCTATTAGTTTGCTGTTACAGTTGGAGGAGGCCAATTAAGGATGGCCAGGGTTCCTGAGCAAGCTTGTCTTCCACTCATCATTAGAGTTAGGCTTGTTAGTTAGCAAGCCCTGCTCGCTGCCTGTCTCTGTGGTTGGTTCATACGCAGTACAGAGAATCACCATAATGATGCAGCGAGGCCTGGAAAACACGCTGAGGGTAGTTGCTTAGGCAACTGCTGACCATAGACTCATAGGATTTTATCTTGGGTTTACACGTGTGTGTGTGTGTGTGTGTGCGTGCGTGTGTGCGTGCGTGTGTGCGTGCGTGCGTGTGCGTGTGTAGGTTTGCTACAGCCAATCCAGACCCAGCAAGTGGGAACCCAACCTATATGGATCACGGCGCCTCCCCAGCACCTGTCAGTCATCCTCACACCTATGGCATATACCCGCCTATGTGAGTCAACAAGTCCTTACATATGAGCTGCTCTCTGTGAGAGTGTGTATGTGTGTGTACATTTTGAGTATCTGTTTCTCGGTGATGTGCTGCCAGCTTGTCTGAGTGCGGGTGGCTCCTCTCTGTGTCCCATGGCAGGAGCGACTCTATGTTGGACGCAGACGGAGACTTCGACCTGGATGACACCATGGACGTGGCGAGGCACGTAGAGGAGCTCCTCCGGCGGCCTGTAGAAAGCCAGTGGGGTGGCCAACAATCATGACCCTTGACCTTTTTAACCCGCAACAAAACCAAACGAAACCTGCCTCCCAACATGCCCCACTCGCATTGACATTTCTCATGGTTTAATTCCACTCATTTCTCTTCTGTTTCAGATGGCTATAATGTGAAATGTTAATAATGGTTGTGATTTTTTTTTTTTCTTTTCAGCATGACAGCATGCACGTCAGTGACTTCTCATAGTTTTATTTGTGTCCATAAGTGTTTGTAAAACAGACTAGGTATAATGCAAAACCTACAATGTTACAGTATTGTGAAAAAGAGAAGAAGAAATGATGTTCATTCACACTGTGCATGCATTTCCAGTTGATTTTGAACAGATTTAAATATTATGCTACTGTATGAAGTCATTTTAACAGTTGAATGTTTTTATTTTGTTATATTTTTTTTTCTTTGTAAATGGGTTATCAGTATTTTGACAGTGACATTGAACTTGCCCTTTGACAAAAAAAAGAAACTTACTGAAGAGTTTTGCTTTTTGCTCTAAACACAACATAATCTGAGTCATTGCTCTGCAGAGTTAGTCAGTTTTTTTCAAATCCGTATACACTAACCTAAAGGCAGAGTGACTCTCTTTGCTCTCTGCAGCTGACGGCACACACATCAGCACACGGTACACATGCGCAAGTGTACGATGTATTTGTTCTGATTTGTTCACCAGCTGAAACCCAGGAGAGGGGTTTATGCACCTCCCTCGCTCTCACAGGGCTATTTGTCTTCTGTTTGTACACAGAAATGCAAATCTACGCATTTACCCAGCGCTGCCTGCTTGTCCTCTCAGGTCCCTCTGTTCCCCTCATCAATGCTACCTCGCATTATTCTACTGACAGTCCTTGTTACTTTCTGTTGTTGTTTCTGCACCACATTCACACCAGTAGGTACCACCGTGGGGTTCCACTCTTGTAATTTGTGTTAATATGGGTGGAGAAGATCCCCTTGCTGCCTGACTCTGTTGGCTGTTTCATGCTTGAAATCGCTCACCTGAAGAAAGTCACGTCTGGTTGGTGGTATGCCTGAATATTTGGGGGCAGTGCTGTTCCCCTCTGACTTTATTTCTGCCTGCCTGTCCGTCCACTTGTTCCTGTTGTCGTGTCATGTCACCGTGACATAACCGGGCATGCGCATGTCTCTGTGGGACAGCCTGGCCACGCCAGCAGCTGAAGTCACCAGGCATAGATAGATAGGTGCAGGCTTTGAATGTTTGCACAGACTCACCGGCCGCTGGGCCACATATAGCACCTCAAGCATGTCGAGCCATGTCGGTCTGTTTCGTTGTCTGGCTTTTGTTTTATGGTCAAGATTGTGTGTCCCCCTGTTTTTTGCTACACGTAAAAGACAAAAAACAGATAAGTGTAGTAGAAAATGTTGAGACTATTACCCCACTGCCTCCACTTCATACAAACACACATTCATACACACGACGCTTAATAGAAAATCTATCATTGACAACAGCCTTGCACCTCAGGAATGAATCGCTTTGCTTAGCTGATGTATAAGCCAAATAGAAAAATGATCTATGTATACAGAATATATGAATTTATTTTCTCTATCATAATTCTATTTTATTATTGTTTCTCTGGCACTCCCCCAATGAATGTAACCCCTGTGCATGACCCAGTCGAGGATTTACATACAAACACCTCCCCAGTCTGAGCAGAAGTTTCAAGTCTCGTGTCACCAGAAGTACCAGTTGAAAAAGGACACAGAGCAACTGGAAATCAGAGTTTATGATGTACTTTAGCGTCTTGTTCGACACACTTATAGTATTTAAAATATTCCCACATCTTTCTTTTCATTTCTTTTATTCTTTTGTATCTCTTTCTTTCTTTCCCGTCTTTGAAATCTCAACCTACACAGGCAGTCTTGTGATATATCCTTCATCACCATTATTCTCATAATTTTTTGAGCTTCGTTCCACCGTAGACTGTGTATTTTTTGATGATGTAGATGGCGCTGTGTGCTGTTCAATGTATGTACCATGTTTGTGCTTTTGGGTTTTATCACTTGGAGGTTTTCCAAGAGAAACAGTTGTTGAGTTGAAAAAAGAAGAAAATAAAGTTTTATAAATAATTTGAACTCAACCTGTAGAAGTACAGACGGTTTTCATGTCACTACAAAATAAATGCTTTTTTTTTTTTTTCTTCTTCTTTATGTGTGCAGTCACCACCATTGATTTAACCGACCAGCCACAAGCTCATCTGGATGTGCAGAGTAAAATGTGTAACTGCATCATGTACAGAAAATGGGGAATCCATGCAATTAAATTCTTTTAAATATATAAAATATTAGTAATATAAAATATTTTTTAAATTTATGTACACACATTATAAAGGCATATTTTGTCAGAGAGCTACTGTCCTCATCTGAAACGAGTTTCACAATAGACATGAACACAAAACAATTTTTTTTTTAAAACTTATTACAAACTATTTCACTATCCAATAGACTGTATGAGGCTTTCTGTTTGGTGAAACCTCAGGGCTTTGGGTGGAGGGAAATATCTTTTACGGTGTCAGATTAAAAGTCCCTCATCTTGTAGAGAAACCTCTCAGATTGTCGCCTGAAGACCTCTCCAACAATGCTTGACATGGAATTAATGTGTTCCAATATAGCACAGGAGTTAATAGGGTTACCTTAAAGGGACATACCACCAGTCTTTTCACCACTGCAGTCTATTTTTTTTTAAAGCGTGCCATTGTTGTTTAGGTTTGTCACTTATTTCCTACCATTTTTGCACAGTATGAAGATCAACTTGCAGACTGCAGATGATTCACCGGTATTAGGTAGGAAATAATTTCGCTGTCTAAATGAACTAAATTTTTCCCTGATATTGCAGCTATAAAAAGGTAGTATACAATGTGCAGGTGGAAACCTCTGACATTTTTAGACTTCACTCTATATAATAGCACATAGTAGTGACATTTCTCTCTGTGGAGCTTTTGAGTGACAATCTCTAAGACTGAAATTCATTTTCATATGGCATTCAACTAAATGTAAAGCAATGTTTGCGCATGGGTGGTACTAAATTAACAATATCATGGTATATTTGATGTAACTGAAAGGAAGCAATGTTAAACCAGACATAGTAAATGGCGCAAGCTCAATATTCAAAACTAGATATTTCTTCAAATGTATAAGAGACGGTAAGTATGGGAAGCTAACTGCAAGAATAATAATACAGGTATTGTATGTACATACCTGTGTTTTACCACATTATCCAACTGCACTGCCCTTTGGCAGCAATAGTTCTTCACAACCCTCAGTAGCAGCTCTCTTGTCTCTGCTCACAAATTGTCTTAATAGGCTCACATCTGCCATCTGGTGGAGATAAAGAAATGTGGCTTTTTTGTGTGTGTTTATTTGAGATGTAGCTTAAATATCAATTATCTGCCCTGGTGTCATGCCTGGGAAAGGTGATAAGAAAATCAAATTTGTGTGGAATTCAAAAAAATGTGAGCAGTTATTGCTTAAATGATTTTCATTATCAGAATACACCTTTAGAAATTCTATGGCTGCTTCCTTCAGAGAAAAAACTAATTATTATGGTTGTGTATGTAATGTACAGCACACCAGTCATATTTTGATTATTTATACTTTATGTATAGGCTACTTTGTCAAAGGTGCGTAGGTCACTGATTGTAATCCAGTGGAGAGGGCTCCTATAGGTCAGTGGTGGGTTGTTGCTCGGATACTAAACCTGCATTTATTACAAGGGCTTTAACACAGAGATATAGCATGAGCACTGTGGTCTGCATCTAAAGTGATGACAGACTCACAGGAGGGCTTTCCTGTTTTTATATATACAGTGTACAGGCCAAGGTTTACAACTTAAATATAATGGTTGAGATGGTTTCCACATAAATACACATAATGTAACAGTGAATGAAAAAATATAAGAATTGAGATGGAAAATTATATTTCACTATTTTTAATTTCTTAAAATATGACTTAGGAATTGTGAATGAATTGAAATTGTGAGAGCCATCGAAAAAATTCAAATAGAAAAGCTCAGTGCAGTGAGAGAGGCTTGATTTTTTTGAGTTTTGTTGTAAATATGGTTTACATATTCACGCACATTTCCTTTTCTTCAGCTACAATTTGGTTGATCCATTATTATTGTGTAAAGGCTGCGTAGAGGCTTTGTGCTGCTTGAGCTCCAGAGCTGCCTCATGACCACCTCAGTGAGGGGATTCTTCCCCACCATCTCCTGTCAGTAACACAGATCTTTTTTGATGGTTGGAGCTGGTCTCTAGTTTAAAAATGTTTTTTGCTTCTTATCAAATATAGAAATTGGCCTAATTTAAACATTATGTTTTGAGTTGTAAAGATCCAAGCCCCTCTTCTCCAGCTGTCAGGAGAATGCTCAACAATTAAGAGCAACAATGTTTTAATTATGTTGAGGGGGGTCACTGGCTTTCCTTGGTTTGAATCTAATGGTCTGTAAAAGTTAATATAATGATATTTAAAATGGAATGTAATAGCTCAATGTAATAATTCTAACAACCTTATTTACACAATGATAAACATTATTTCACTCAGTGCACATTGGTGTCAGACAAGTGTTCTTTTTTTGATCAAATTTTGATCAAATATTCTGTACATATTTACAAGGAAGTGAAGTGTTTTTTTTTCAACCATAATGTCATAGTTACAATTCACAAAATGATGGACACAATTGCTAAGCATTATCTGAATGGATAGTAGCTGCAATTACATACCGAGACCATCTTTTAAACTGCTTTGTAGCGCTAATAAATACAAAATAGATCACCCACCAAGCTCTAGAATGATGCCAGCAGACACACAGGTATGAAAAATATGTCATCCATCATTGGATGTTTACACAGTTCGCAAAACAGTTTAAGAAATTCACAGTCAACTGATATTAACCAGATGAGAGAGACTATCTTTCTTTTTTTTTCTTTTTAAAAAAAACCACGTCTACACTTTCTTCATCCTGCTTCATCTGAGCCACATCACCACCTGGTGTCAGTAAAGCCCAGTCGATCAGACAGACTGGGCAGACTTAGGGGTGAAATCTCATTAATGATGAACACATTGCGTGATGTGAAACTGACTGAGAAAAAAAAAGAAGAAAATATACAGTGAGTTATTATAAGGTCTAAATATGATGTGATAGTTGCTCTAAATGAAGTGAATAAAATGCATTACTGTTAAATACTGTTACCATCAATGCACAGAATAGATTGCAGGGGTGCATTAATAATTCAGATATGCCTTTAGTGTGTGAGTGATTTTCTAATTGAAAAAATAGAGTAAACGCCCCAATAAAATCAACAAGAATGGAAAGTTTCAGTTAAAGTGAAGTGGAGTTAAAGGCACAATCAGTAACTGTTTGAAAATACTGTAAATTGGAGTCTAATCACTTAAATAATTATAATTCAAAATGTAGGCCTTGTATGACAGTAGTTGGTCCTTGTATTAAACAGGAGGCCTGTCAGTCAATAGAAGATTCCAGTCTTGTGTTTTCATTTTTGGTGGTGGTGGTGGAGGTGTCCTTTTTGTTTAGATCGTGGATTGTGACTTTAAAGAGCGACAATAAATGCAGAATTAGACTGTACATTAAAAAAGTGTTTGTCGGGAGGATTTCATACACAGTTTCTGTTCCTGTTGGGCGAACGAGAACGTGGGCCGGCACAGGAAGTGCGGTGGCACAGCTCAGGAAGACGCACCCTCTGCTCCCCAGCTGTGAGCAGTGGGAACTTCCTTTATAGATATGATCATTTAAATGTACAGTTTACACAGTATCATGTGTTTGTCAGAAGTGGATTATGGTTCTTGTGGTTTTATTGTTATCTCAGTATCTTTGTTTGACGTAGGTGAAGGTAACTGTCACTGATGCTGTAGACACAGTAAATGAGAAAATAATTAAAGGTGTGAGGGAACAGGTCGACAAACACGTGGCTCTCTACAAGAATCTTGTGTGGTCATAAATCCTGAATGTTTGACCGGGTGACCCTCTCCTCTTTTCCCCCGTAGCCAACTGGGATTAGGAGACTTGATCAATAGCCAGCTGTCTTCAATACGATGGCCTGGCCTCTGTTGATGGGCTCAGGTGGGAGGAGGGAGCCGTTAGAGGCCTTAAAGTATGGCGATGCAGATCCATTGGTCTGAGCCTGACAGCGACAACTGCAGCAGGAGGGAGCGGCACCAGAGCCATGGCTTACATCCTGCCACAGGAAACTATTGCAAACCTCAATGAAAAACAACAAGGTTGTTATTTTAAAGTGACATTGCCTTTTCAGCGTTCAAGAATGCTGACACAGCGTTCTCTTGATTTCACTTTCTCTCTTGCATGCTGTTTTATCTTAGCTTGTTTTTTTTTTTTTTTTTTACCCCCCCAGTTGAACACAACTTATGTTTATATCCTTACATCATTCCTGGTTCTTTTTTTCTTCAATGCGCAAAGCAACATACATACATGTTTGTGGGTGGATCATTGAGAGGCATCTTTAACAAGGCCAGCTGTGGTAACATCTTGTGGAGTTATGCGAACAACTCTGATCCTGCCACCCCCCCCCCCCCCCCCCCCCCCCTGAAGTCCACGTGGAGCTGATATTTCAGAGAGTTCAGTTCAGAGACTGGTTGGTCGTCAGAGGCCTTTTTACATTGAAGTGAGACAGCTTGGCCAGGCAGTGGAGGCTTTTAAAAGCAGAACTTTTGTTAAATTATTTCTGAGAATGCATAATACATGACCCTGAGAGAGAGAGAGAGAGAGTGAAGGGGGGGGGGGGGGGGCAATGAGAGTGTATGTGAGGAAAAGAAGGGGGGCATGTAATCTCTCCAGCCTCCTCTTCCTGGACATTTTACTGTCTCAGTCTAACAACAAGTAATCCATTCCTTCAATCGCCTTTTCACTCTCTTCCTCTGTCACTTCATGCGGTGACAGATTTCATTCACTTCTCCCTCTCACCGTTCTGCCCGTCCTTGAGAAGTAGCTGTGCTCCTCCAGCAGTATTCACATGTTTGTAAGTCATTTTCATTCATAAGACTGAATGCGATTAGAGAGGCTATGTTTTGGCTGCAGATTAAGCCACTTGCCACCACCAAGGTCTGTGAGAATGTCCACATAGAGACACCCTTCAATGAGACTCTTTGTAGTAAGTAAATTGTTGTGTGTTTCATGTGAGTGTTGCTATTTACCAGGAAGTTTAGATGAAGGACAACAATCCCAGGTCTGTGATGTGAAGACATTGCTTCGGCTCTGATGCGTCTGGTCATATTTTCAAAAATCATGATCAGATGCTGAGCTCACTCTCTCTACTGCACATGACTCCTTTCATACAAATTGGCTGTGATTTGATTTGTCCCCTCATTGGGTTATGAATGGGGTTGCATTATCCCAGCTTATTGGCCATGTCTCGTCTGATGATGTGAGTTGTGAGTTACACCCTCCATTGTTTTAGTTTATTTTAGCCTGTTCTCAGAGGCAGACGCTTGGTTTTATGGTGTGTGAAACACTGGTGCCTAGGTTAGATGGCATGCAGTGATATTGCACATCTGCAGTCTTTCCAATTTACCCCTAATGTGATTGTAAATATTCACAGTCTCCTCTCTGTTTTAGTTGCTACTGCTCTTCTTCGCACATTTAACAACAGTTTAAAAACATATTCACTCTTCTGAAAGGGTGTTTCATGTATGCTAAATTATAACCGTTATTATTATTTGTCTTCTTCTGTGCTCTTCTAGGTCAGACATAGATAATGTTACAACTGAATACAATACAAACTTGTATGTTACTGAAAACATATAGGCCTACACATCTGTTGTTTATCGGTTTCTTGTTCAGTCTGGACATGGGACCTTCTGTCAAGACTACTATTACCTCTTAAGCTTCCCTGTATGAGTGAAATGCTTAGTGTTGTGTCACAGATGTTTAGAAAGTGAAATTAAAGCTAGATTAATTTACACATCTTTATCTGTAACACACATTAGCCTATCTGCAAGCAGCGCATTAAAATTACAGCAGCAATCACTTTACTTGCCTGTAGGTGGCTGCAGGACTAAACTACTGCTGCTGTTATTACTTTTTTTTAATACTGAATTCACTGATTTAATTTTTTGCCAATAGTTTGTGTTATTTAAACAGATTTTTACCAGAATTTTGACCAAAAATGCTTGTTTTCTTTCCAACAGGGCACTATACTATATCCCATCTTAACAGTAAAATTAGTTTAAAATGAATAAAACAACAGATTTTTTAAATGTTATCATAATTTTTAGAATCAGATTTTCACACAAAATTATGTTTTTAAATTTAAATTTTTACTTATTTTTAAACATCCTCTCTTGAGCGCCCTCTTGTGGAGAGCCTGCGGCCTGCTGAATGGCAGTGTGTGAAATGTGAAATGTTTGGCTTAAACTCTCTGAAACTTCCAGTGTAGCCGGTTTGCTGGGGAGATGGTGCGCGCGCACGCCAGAAGAATTGAACTGTGATTGCGCGCGCTGGACCCTGGATTTTATTGTACGTGCACGCGCCGGTGTGTGCACGCGTTTGCGGGCTTATTGCGATTGCGCCCTCTCAAGTCTTGAAATTGTCCCGCGGATGCATTTGAGAGGGTGGAAGCTATCCCGTTTGCAAGCACTGCAAAAGTGTAGAAGACGCGAGGCAATGCGCACGGCGGAGAGTGTGTTCAGAAGCGGACGTGGTGAGCGAAACAGATTTTCTGAGGACAAGGAGACGCCAGAGCAAGCTGTAAACACAACGTGTAGCGGCAAACCCTCAACATAAGTCAGCATTTCCAGTGTTTTTGGAGCACACGCCTCCAGAAAGCTGTTCGGAGAAGGTCGCGTGCGGGGTACGGCGTCTGCTCATTAATTCACCAGGACGGTTCAGTGTGACCATCCGGCTTCATACGTTTCCGTGCGCCCCAAGTGATGGACAGGCAGTGGTGATCGGTTGAAAGACCAGCCGACCTGGACGTCAACAAGTCCACTGTGCCGTGAGAAAAATGGGCTGTTTTTACATTGTGGAGGGGTGGGCTTTGCTGTAACACCGGTGGATCATGGCAGGGGTACACACTTCAGATGCTGTGTCGGGACAATTTCTGGATCCTGCAGTCGGCGCCCCGACAGCCCAGGGCGCGACCAACGCAGCGGGAATCACCGGCGATGCGGCCGGTACCCGGGCGTACTTGGAGGTGTCGGCCGCTGCCCAGGGCTACGGGGCCGAGGGAGTTTACACCAATGGACGGTACAGGGAGCACGGCAGTCCAAGGATCGGGAGTGTCAGCCGTGATAATTCCGCCGAGAGATGTCAGGGAGCTGGAAACACGCCTTGCGGCATTATGAAGGTTGGTTGACTGAAACACTTAATTCTCCTTGTCAACGATTCTCAAGGTGACACAAGGGGGAATTTATGAAATGACTGTGCCACTGTATAACCCAACAAAGCAGGAATAAACTATAAAATGCGTGGTAAGCCCAGTTACCTAAACCGTGGTCCAGAGACTTTGAGGGGTCCTCAGAGTTCCACTGGGTAGACATGAGAATTAAGCCGCTTTTATTCTAGCAACTCTCCATAGAAGTTATAAAGGAATAACCCTGAGTTAGACTTAATACCTTCATTTGTAGCGACAACTTAAACAGAAGTGTTAATTTCAGGGTTCCCCAGTGCATCTTCTGTATTTTGGCTTCGCATCTGGACGTCCTTGTGTCTTTGACAAACCCAACATATGTGTGTCAAACAGACACACTGTGCCGCAGTTATCATCTTGAAAACTATTGATATTATTAAAGTTCCTAAACTGTGCAGACATGCGGTTAGCACCTTTGATGCCAGTTTTAACAGCAGCATGGTTAACAGGAGCTTTACAGTTTGCATTCTTTGGAGTCAGTTGCTATTACTGCACTTATCCTATTACTCCTCCAACACAGCATACCATATAATAGAACAGCAGAGTAACACACCAGAGAGTAGTTGTTTGTTCTGTGTGGGAGTTTACAGTGACCATGTCATGAGTTGTGGTATTTTTAGTTCTAGATTTAACATCACATTGCTCATCATCTGCTGCGTTATGTGTTGAGTCTTTATTGCAAAGATAATAAAGTTTTCATGGGATGAGCTGCAGTGCAGCTAGAGTTAAATTTTTAACACTTAATGTAGATTTAAAGACAGGTCCTGGTGAAACAGAAGGTGAACAGATTTTGAAAACCTTAACTAACTAATATATCTAATGGTTGTCCAGCTCTAATTAGGACTCCCTTTACCGGAGGTTAATTAACTGATCTCCCACATACCCACATAAGCAAGATGACAAGTTTCCTTACAGTATTTATATTGTTACTCCATCTTGTGCTTTTACCACACAAGAATGCCGGCTTCTTGACTACACAGTGTAGACTCTATAGCATGACAGGCTGCATCATGGGGTCCTTGGTGGAGATAGAAGTATGGCGTAGGTGGGACACACTGGAGAGTTGCATTCTGTCATATCAGACCTTGTTTGCTTAGCAACTGACACAAAACACTGGCTAATTCTTTGTTACCCCCCATTATTGGATTCCCTGTGGATGTGAGCAAATGCATTGCAATCCCCCACAAACAGCATTTAGACATACAGATGGCTACAGACCATCACGTGCACACGTCTGCTGGTTCACTGCTGTCAGATCAGTGGAATCCAAATAAAAGTGCATTTCTTTAATTTTTTCATCCTGAAGCTTTTCCTTGCTTTTTACTACTATTTTTTACGACTACTAACATTTGTTCATTGGAGAAAAAAAAAAAAACACAACTTTGAAATATCATAGGGCTGAAAAGCCCTAAATCCCTCCTCTCCCCACAAAACAATCAGTCCACCTCTGTGAGGCTCATGAGCAATACAAGACAGGAAAGCTGGAGGGGATTGTGCTGTCTAAATATGATTGATAAATCTTCAAAGGATGCTTCTCTGAATACCGTGTTCATACGGTGTTAAAGTGGCCCTGCTGAGCTTTGCTAGCATAGTGTGAGCAAATTCTTGTGCCTTGCCTCCTGAATAACCGCCGACAGCTCTGAAAATGAATTCATTAGTGTAGATCCACAAAATCCTGTATTGTATCTGAGACTATATAGTTTCCATAAGTGACCCATGATCTCGGAAAGGAAAGGAAATCATCTGTGTGACATATCTTGAATTCAGACATATCAGCGTTCTGCAGTCTTCACAGATCAACGCCATGAATGTGGCTTGCATGTAATGACCACAAGGGCCATCATTTTCTCTCTGAGGGGTGCGCTGACATTGGTGGCCATGTGCACTAGACTTCAGCCATACATGTGCAGGGTGAAATAAAGTGAGAGCTCCATAGCTTGAAAGAAAGAATTGACTAAACTGATAAAGCACAGGGAAACTGTATGCTGTTACATTGTGCACGGCTTGTGGATTATTTCACCTCCACTTCATACAGCACTCGGCGCTATAGAAAATACTTCTACACACAACAAACTATTATTGAACTTAGTGTTTTTGTTTGAATTTTAATAGATTGCAGTTTTCCACTCGCGTCGTCACTCTAATGTCCTTTCCTTCTCAGACGCAATTTCAAATAGAGAAAAGTCCTTCTGTTTTATCCACTTAGCAAATGTAAATGAAGATCACGTGGTAGGCTTGTAGAACAGGTTTGAGCACTTAACATAAAGATATTCAAAGCGCAGTGGTGAAACCATCTTGTCAGCTTGAAGTGTGCCTTGTAACTCTGATACTATCTCGTATCAGCAGGTGTGTTTAAGTAAGGTGGAATTTGTCTGAGCAGCATCTCTGGAAAGTTGCATGGCATATTATAGTCACGACATGGTACACACACACTGTTCGAGCAGAGCATGGTGGGGAAACTGGGTCAGCCATTCTGTAGACTTCATGTATAGCTTCAGCGCACCCACCTACTTTTGAGCAGCACTTTGTAATGTTTGTTAGTGTGTGTGTGTGTGTGTGTGTGTGTGTGTGTGTGTGTGTGTGTGTTCGAGTGGAGCTTTAAAAGGTGAAGGGTCAACAGGTCCGTGGGAATGGGGAAGCAAATGAGCAATTACAGCTCTGCGTTACCTCATTAACTTGGCCCTCAACAAGCAAATCTTACAAGAAGAGAGGTTTGTCTGTCTGTCCCTTAAGCGGGCATCCAACTTTGTCCTCTTGTCATTTCCTCAGCGGGGTGACAGTGTCATGGTGGAGAGCCTGCAGAGTGGCTAGAGAGGGAGTTTGTGATGCAGCCTTGTTATGTAATGCTGGACTGTGGACAGCTGCAAGGCCGGCTCCAGCCTGGCTGCTGGGTGGAGGGAACTGACAACTAGCACAAGTAGAGAAGGAGCAAACAGTATTTTTTTATTTTTTTGCAAGAATCTAAGGGCAATGCTATTTAATCTGAACAGAATCTCCCAAGCATTTGCCATTTCTTTCATTTCTCCCTTTTCCCTCTCGGTTCTTTGCACTCTGCAGTTCTTAACCTTAGCAGCAGATGAAAGGTCAATGCTTTTATTTTCAGAGATCTGCAAGAAAAAAAACAAAAAAAAAAACGCAGTTCATGGATGGGTCAAAAGTAATCCAAAAAAAGTCATCATTAACAGTGATGTAACACTGGTACTGTCCATTGGGAATAAAGATCAATACAGATCACATGGTTCTCAGTCCGTCTTGCGTAAGGTCCTCCCTTCCATCCACCTCCACAATCTGCCTCCATGAGTGGCAGGATATCAATTCACCGTCTCATTCATGACCTCATATAATAGATTTGAACCATACTGACCCAGTGTGACTCCTCATCAGCTCAAGAGCGTCCCGGGATGCTTAATAAGGGACCGACACGTATGATTGGCTTATAGAGGAGTCAATCCTGTCGGCTCAGAGCGAAAGCCTCTCTGAGCGGGTGAAGAAGTGAACATCCTAGAGGAGCAAATGTGAGGGTGATACTTTGATTTACAAGAGTTTTAAATGATGAATGATTCAAGTTTTGCTCTTGAAATTTTGCTAGTTCTATTTAGGTCAACTAAATCTGGTATCTGTAGTTTAAAGGAGAGTCTGTGAAACAGTGTTCCTGTTTCCTCAAGGACAGAAAATCCTCTGGGTTAAAACCAGGGGACTTCAGATGTAACTTCGGTACACTTGCATCTCCAAACCCGCCTCTGGTAAAGTGAAGCATTCTGCCACATACAAACAGGGCACAAAAAAGTGTTGCCAGATAAGCGAAGGCACTGAAATGCTCCTTGCAATCTCAACGTCATCCTCCTCCACTCACGGACCATATAAATAGAAAAAGCAGTTCAGTACTGTGTTTGACCACCTCTGGCCCTGATAACAGCTGCCATGCACGCATCAGGCCTGTGACTCAACAGAGGACCTGTGGTGTCCCGCTGTTACAGCTGACCATGCACACATCGGTGCCTTTGATGGGTGGATAGTCCTTTTTTTTAATGGTGCATTCAAGTTCATCCCACAGGGGTTCAGCAAGATTGATATCGGGGATGGTCACCAGGTCATTAGTGTAATTTTATCTGAATGTTCCCAGGATCATTTCGGGATGATTCTTCCACTACGCCAGGGCACATTACCCTGTTCAAAATATCTATCTCCCCGGGGGGTTTATGGTGATGATAAATGGTGCACCCTGTCATGATGTGAAGGTTCGCTCTGGCATGAAGGCATTTAAACTACACATTTGATCACCATGCCACAAATGTGTATTGTGATGTTAACTGTCATGTATTTTTCTGTTAGTTTATATTTTTCATCAAATTTTGAGTCGTTGCTTTACATGCGAAACACGTGTGGAAGCTGAGTTGCCGTTGCATCTACTCAAATACAGACCTATGAAAAATAGAAGAGGAGAGACCACTTCTTCTGCATGGCAAGTTGTTTGCCTATAAACCCTCCTCGATCAGCTCCCCAGTACCACCTTGGGTTTGCCTAGACCTCTCATAAACTGAATATTTGCAACCAAATGATGATGCTGTTTCCTCATTATCCCCCAAAGTGTTTAAACTCACTTGATGTGGGAATTATTTTGTCAGTAAGGAACATATTTGTCAATGATTTAATGATGTTTGCTTGGCAAGATCATATCCATCAGTTACAGCCTCTAAGTACTGTCCCATATATCGTGGCTCTGTATGTTTTTGTTTTAAGGCTGCAACTAACAATTATCGATCATTTTCTCATTGATTTGTGGGCTCTATTAAGCATGAAAAAAATTAAAAATACCTACCACAATATCCTGGTGCGCAGAGAGATACCATCATGTCTTGTTTTATCCGACAAACATATCGAACCTCGAAATATTCCATTTACTTTAATTTAAAACCAAGAAAAGCTGAATTTTTTTT